GTTTAGTTTAAAAAGCCACGCTGCTGTGAGCTCCTGGGCGCGGGCTCCGGGCCGACAGTCGCTCTAAGCCATCCCTGTACAGAGGTCCCGGGGATGGACACTTGTACTGCGTCCTTCTCAGACAGCTGCCGCGGACGTACCTGGGGTAGGACACACACGTGACGGGCCTGGCCACTGCCCCCCACAGGTGGAATGGGGCGGGCCCGCAGGAGCTCGGCCAAGCCTCGCTGGACAAGAAAGAAGTCCAGACCTGTCCTGCGGGAGCGCAGCTCAAGGCAGAGCACACGAGCAACGGGAAGCCCTGGGTTCCAGTCCCAGCACCAAAACACACGGCAGCCTAAATCGGCCCTCAACGTTCACTGTCCCCTGGCTCCCTGAGGGTCAGGGGCTGGGGAGCAGGGGCAGAGGCTCTGGGCCAGCCAACTGGAAAGGCCACACGCTTCCAGATGCCCCAGAGACCACGCCCCAAAAGGGCGGAGCTGCAGGCGCTGACAGGCGCGATGGGGTGGCCAGAGGGCACTGGGGCAGGTGGCCCGTGCCCACACCGCCATGCCACACCCTGGTTGGGATGGGGCCCTCCGGTTCTGTGCGATGTTCTCATCAAGGGTAACAGACAGAATCTCTGTCACTTCTGATAACTGCATGTGAATCTACCTCTTAATAAAAGTCCATCGGAGAACATCGGAGAAGCCCTTGACGCCACCTATTGGGATGGCTGACATCAAGACAAAACAAAACCAGAAACCAGCAAGCGCCGGCCGGGTCGCCGAGAAGCAAACCCTTTGCCCCTCGGAGGGACGGTTAGATGCTGCGGTCACCGGGGGACAGCAGGGCAGAGGAAAGACTGAGCTAGAACCCAGAACCCACCCCTCCAAGGGCAGTCCGCGGCCCTGCTTCCCACTCTCCCTGCCCAGCCGCCTGCTGCGCCCCACGCCAGAGAGGGTCTCTGGGCAGCTGCGCGCTGCCGGATGCGGCCAGGGAGGGGGCGCTCAATGGTGGCGCTGTGGCGGCCTCAGCCCAAGTCCCCGGGAAGCCCCTGCCGCCAGGCCAGGACATGCGTGACCCCGGCACCCGAGTCCTACAGTCATGAACTGGGCAACGCTGGAGCTGATCCCGAGCTTCGGGGCTCCTTGCTCCGCCACCTGTGCTTTAGGTTGCAAAGCAAAGACAACACGTGCCTCATATCCTGGGAAAGGACGGGCTGGCCAGCTGGGGTGGCCACCCAGTGGATGCCGGTGGTGCTCAGGGCCAAGCTCTGGCCACTTCTACATCACTGGGACACCAAGGAAAGTCTGGGCTGCCACAGCTGGCCCCGAGCAAGGAATTCCTGAGCACTGCGAAGACCCGGGCTGGGGTGTGCCTGGGTGGGACCCTCACCCGGGGTCCCATCCCTAGCACCAGATGATTCAGCAGGGCTGTCCCACAGTGGGTGTGCCCCAGGGCCTTGCTTCCTGTCACATGATTCAGCTCTGTGAAGGCCACCTCGTTTCTCTGGTGGAAGCCCCTCCCCGGGCCAGTCCCACCTCGCAGGAGCAGCCCATGTCACCAGGCCTGGCCAGCCCTAGGCATTGCTTGGGGAATGGGTACACTCCCGGCACTGCAAAGGTAAAAGCAAAGCAGAGTCCAGATCCTGATATCTGCGCTAGAACTAGTGGGTTGGAGACACGCCCTTGCTGATGGGCTGTGAGAAGAGCTGGTCCACTCAAGGCTGCTTGAGTCTGACTTCAATTGAAGCACAGGACAAAACAGACCCACGGGACACAGACCAAGCCTTGAGGACACAAGGGAGATAGTGGATCCAACCCTGCCTGAAGCCAGCTCATATATTTATGAGCCAACAAATTCCCTTCTTGTCTTCACCACTTGGATGAGAAGTTTTTGCTGGATTCCCATCTGACACAGGAGGTTGGGCCTTCCCCAGTGTGGTAGCCTGAGGCTCTGTGACAGATGCCATTACCACTGGAAGAGTGAGTCCGGGTGGTGGAAGGTGGCACTGAGTTGTAAATAAGCCAGGCACGGAGGGGGGAGTGCCACGTGACCCCAAACAGTGGGGCCCAGGCTGGCTGGAGGAGGAAATGGGAGGTGTTGGGCAAAGACTGAGCATCAGGCAGGAGGAGAAAGTTCTAGAGATCTGTCCTCAGTGTGGTGACTGCAGCTGATGACAAGGTGCAGCTCTTAAAAAGTGCCAAGAGGGGCTGGGGTTGTGGCTCAGTGGGGTTGTGGCAGAGCGCTTGCCTAGCATGTGTGAGGCACTGGTCCGAACCTCAGCACCACGTAAACGTAAAATAAAAGCCTTGTGTCCATCTACGAGTAGAATAAACATAAAAGTGCCGAGAGTTCACTGAAGTGTTCTCACACACACACAATAAACGAGCGCAAGCCCTGAACAGGTCGACAGCCATCCCACACACAGCCAAGCACCACCCGCTCACTGTGTGCACACACGATCCTTATTCACCAAGGAACCAGGTGGCCGAATGTGGCTCTGGGGTGAGGCCGCCCACAGTGTGAGGCCCTGGCTTCTTCCCCAGCACTGCCAAGAAGTGACGCTGGCGGGGTGACACAGGGGTGCCAGCACGTCCTTCACTGAGCACCCCTGTGCCCAGCATGGACCTAGCAGGAGGGGAGGGGACACACGGGGCGTGGTCGGACCGCACAGCAGGACGGGGCTGGGAGAAGCCATCTGACCAGCAGCCAGGGTAGTGCCACTTCGCAACCACGGCAAAGGCAGGGCTTGTCCTTCCTGGGGGGCAAGCTGGTCAGATGCGGGCAGGTGAAGGCCCCTCGCCTCTCAGAAGCGGGCACACGGCACACCCACATGGCACCTGGAGACGCACCCGCTTGCCCTCCAGATGCCCTGCTTGTTGTCGGGCCCCTGTGTGGCCCTAGCCACCCAGAACTCCTGGCCTTCGAGCACTGGGGCTGCAGGCACCTACGCCCAGCACCTCCTGCCAAGGTGTGTGTGTGGACACCTGACCACTGACGCTGCTGTCACTCTCCCTTCAGGTGACACTGGAGCTCCCCATCTGCGGGGCAGCCGGGCACCGGTCCACTTGCCAGTCTGCCCAGGAGGCGCGGGGGCAGCCCCAGCAGCACTCCACAGGCTCCTCTCAGGGCATCTTCCTGGTGGCCAACTCCACAGCAGAGTGAGCGGGACGGCCGGACGGCTGTTACTAGCTGTCTTCGGGTCAGGCAAGGTGACTCTGGTGACAGCAGCCCCTCTTTGGACACGGTTCTCTCCATCCAGAGCAACCAGTGAGCAGCACTTCCCGTAGAACCCGGCTGCTCCGTGCAGGCACGTGGAGGAAGCCAGCCACTCTCTACCCCCACCCCGGCAGCTTGGCGCGCACGGCCCAGAACCAGCCTGTGTGTGTCCCTCAGGCCAAAGGGGCCAGTGGAGGACCTGACCTTGACACAGGTATGGCTGTGATTCTAACAGAGCGCACACTTCAGAGGAAAGCAGGTGTGATCTGGGAGCGCTGCCCGTGCCCGACTCGAGGACCTTGACTCGAGGACCCGGCCTAGGAATCAGCAGACCAGAGAGACCTGGCCACAGGCAGGGCCCACGGGCACCCAGGCTCCACTTCCTTGTCCCCAGCCCTCCCCCATCAGGTAGGTGGCCTTGCCCCTGCTTCAAGACCTGCCTCCTGCAGGTGGCCACAGCAGCACTCTTCTCCCATCGAACCACACGTGGACAGGCCCCGTGGCCCTCCCTTTGGGGTGGAGGCCCACACCACAGTGTCATGGGAGGAGGCCGGTTCTCAGGTTTGGAGCCCAGGAACACTCAGGAGCAGCCACTGTGCTCGGGGTGTGGGGGTGCCACGGCGGCTCAGGCTGGAGGGAGCAGCAGCTCAGCCTGGGCTCCAAGGCAGGGGCGGAGTGGGAACCAGGGTCCCCAGGTCCTGTAACCCCACGGAAACCACCAATCAGCTCTCACCAGACGAGGCCACAGCGGGGGGGCCCCAGGCCCAGGGCAGCAGACCATGGCGGCCGCCGCACTTCCTAAGGTGCAGGAAGACACAACTCTGTACCCTGGGGCTGCAGCAGACCCTTGAGTCAGCCTGGAAGCCAAGGCCACCACTCTGGCCACAGGGAGAAAGGCAGGACAGCCAGGTCAGAGCAGGGCTGCAGGCCCTGCCTCCAGAGACCAGCAGGACATGAAGGACAGGAAGAGCAGTGGCCACTGCTGGGCCTACTCCACCAGGACCTCAGGACGAGCGGTGACACCCAGCCCCCGGGACGGGGGAGGCTGCATGACGGGATGGCTCCACTCCCTCCAGGAGGAAAGGCCTGACACGGAGCCTCAGGCCGTGTTGCTCTACCCCAGGGTCTGAGCGCCACCCAAGGAGAGCAACCGTGGAGCTGGCTGTGGACGGCACACAGCTCTGCCCCTCTCTCGGGGGCTTCCCAAGATCAGGGTCCCCTTCACCACGGCTGCTTCCTCACCGACCCGCAGCTTTGCCTGACAGGTCCTGGAGCTGGCTCTCAGCAGCCACCAGCTCCTCTGCCCAGGGCCACTGCCTCCTTCAGACGGACGGGCTGTCCCTCCAGGAAAAGCACCCCTCTGGCTACCTGCACCCACCCGAGATGTGAGAGTGGCAAGTCAGAAACAATCTTCACCCAGCAGTTTCTGCTTTGTTTCCCTGGGAATCCTCGCATGAAGAGTTGGTGACTTCAGCTTATAAAGAGCACTTTTTTTTTTTTTTTTTTAAGACAGGGTCTCACTAAGCTGCTTAGGGCCTCACTAGATTGGTTGAGACCCGCCTAGAACTTGTGATCCTCCTTTCTCAGCCTCCTGAGCCACTGGGATTACAGGTGTGCACCGCCACGCCTGGATAAAAGTGCTTTTGAGGAGCACACCCTGTAAAAAAGGCCCTGCACTGGCCTGAGCTGCTGACGACGGGTGTGAGCCAGCCCAACAGCAGACGGTGCAGACACCAAGGAAGCCAGCCACCTCTGCCGAGGACAGAGCGCCCGGCCCAAGCAGACTGCACAGCAGGTGGGTCAGAAAGAAGTTTATTCTGAATATTTGATTTAAAAAAGCCAAACCTACGAGGGTGCTACAGGGTTCAGATACTGACAACGAGTCGCATACAAAACCCGGTCTGCGTGGGAAAGCAGACGCCTTGGGAGCAGCGCCCTGGCCGGGATGCGCCCTGGAGCCCAGACGCTCCTGCCGTCCATCCGCTGGACTGTGGCCCCACCAGGCTGGCCCCACCCCCTGCTGCCCTGCACATGAACATGGGGCAGGCTGGGTGGCAGCTCCAAGGACAGCTGCCCGGGTACCAGGGCGGGAACGCAGCTCCTCCGCAGTCATGCTCTGACCGGGTCAGCCAGTCGGGCTCTGCGGGAGCTGAACGTGGCCTTCTGGCAGGAGCAGCACAGCTCCCTAATGACAGCTCGCTCTGTCCTGGCCTGGCCTCCCGCGGCCACCCGGCCAGAGGCCGAGGTCAGGCCCGGGCCCAGGGCTGCGAGGCAATCTGGTAGCAGCTGAGGCTGAGCCCAGCACTGCCCCTGGGGCTCATGGTGGCCCCTTCTCAGGAGAGCGGCAAAGGACACGCCACGTGGGGCAGGAGGCGAGGCACCACAGTCCTCCAGGGGACTGGGGTGCCAGGGAGTACACAGGCAAGGACAAGACCAGGGGTGGCTCAGGAGAAGGCTGGGTCTCTGCTGTCGGGCAGCGCAGCAGGGACCCGGTGGGAGCCCGTGCTCCCGTGTGCCTCCACGGCACGGCAGCCCTTCCCTCCTGCTCCTGCTCCACCAGGGCAGCCACACAGGGCCAGAGGCTCCTGCCTGTCTCGGTGGCACATGCCTACTGAGCCCCGAGGACCACAGGCCAAGGTCGCTGCACGTGACAGCTGACTCGGCACAAAGACCTTCGACAGGCGAGGACACGCGCCCCGCCTCCTCCTAAGCAACATGATTACAATATATTAGCAAATTTGTGGCATAAACATTTCCAAAAGCATCAGCCAAAGTATTAAATATAAACGTAATGTGTATACCCCGCCCCACCCTCGAGAAAAAAACAAAAGAAACCAAGATACAAACCCCAAACCCAAACCCCGAGAAGGCAGACTTGTAGTGTGGGCCTGGTGCCAGCCAGCGTCGCAGGGTGCCTAGGGCCGCAGTTCCACGTAGTTGGCAGGGAAGAGCCCGTACCTGCCCTTGCACACCCCACGCCACCAGCCGTCGTCGATCATCTCGATGTTGGTGATGATGTCGTCGGGGTCGAAGGAGATCTCGTCATCGCCAGCTGGGGAAAGAGCGCAGACCAGGGCGCAGATGGAGCTGGAGGAAGGGCTGGGGAGGATCCCCAAGAATCTGCCACAGCGTCATTCCCCAGAAGAGCCAGCGGGGCCCTTGGGGCGCAATGCTACGCTCAGACCCGTGCTCCTTGGCAGGTGGCCTTCCTCCTAACCTCCCTGCAGGAGCTGGCCAGGTGCCACCGCCTAAGGTCAGGGGCCGCGGGGTAGGCCCTTGGTGGGGGACGGCCAGGAAGGGGTCCTAAAGGTAGGAGGGGAGTGCCAGGCAGCCTGCAGATGGGCTGGGTGGGAGTCTTCTGAAGACCTGCCCGAGGCAGAGCGGGGCACAGAAAGGAGCAGAGCTGGGGGAAGGGTCTCCCGAGCAAGGCCAGCCCCCGTGCAGAAGGAAGGGGCCAGGGCCACGCTCTCAGGAGGCTGGGGGTCGGAGGAGGTGAGAGCCCAGGGGAGCCTCATCACAGCACCACCCAGCGGAGCTGTGCGCTCAGCTACGAGAACACAGGGTGCTGTGGACCTGGGTCCCAGAGGGCGCCAGGCAGCCTGGCCTGGGAGGCGCCTGCAGTTCCCCTGGCCTCCCTCCCTGCCATGAAAGCACAGCCTCTGCCCAGACCTGAGGAGGCTGGGGAGCAAGGGGACCAGCCCAGGAACCAGCCCAGGAACCAGCCCCGACAGGACAGACGTGAACTGGGTGTCCGGCGGTGTCACCTCCCTGCTGGCAGGGTAGGACCCCATCCCTGATCTCTGGAAAGGCACACCAGGGTCTTTAGGGGTGGCAGGGTCCCTGCAGCTCCCTGGGAGCTCATGGGTTGCAGAGAGGGAGTGCACTGAGGGAGGCACGGGGACTCCGGGCACTGCCCCGCGTCCTCCCCAGAGCGCTAATGCTATTCCCGAACAAGCCTGACTCTCCCCGGAGAAGCCAAGCCCCCCCAGACAGGAAGACCCCCACCCCACCCCCGCAGCGGGCCTCACCAGCCTGGTAGTCGTAGAGGGCAGTGGCCGTGAGGCCCAGGTCGTTCTCGTACTCGGCGTAGGTGCCGTCTTCTGCAAGCACACCAAGAGCAGGCGGGCATGCCACCGGGTCCGGCCCTGCTCTCCTCCAGGGAGAGCGCCCACACCGCAGGGATCAGGCCGAGAACTCGGCTTCCCAGAGCCACGTCCACAGGCTCCAAGCTCTGACACCACCCGGGGACATGATAACAGGCGCCATGGCCACGTTCAGAGTTAACTTCTACAATTAAAACGCTAACGGGAGGAAAGGTTCCGCGCTGCGAAAGTGAGTGGGAGGAGGTGACCAGGCGCCCAGCTGCCCACCTGGAGCTCAAGCCAGACCTTGGAGCTGAAGGAAGTCTACACCCGTCCAGCGAAGCCAACCTCAGCACGGCAGAGGCGGGCTGCCCTGGCACCATCGGGCTGAGAAGACCAGCCTCCCCCAGGAGGAGAGGCACCCTGCTCTGGCCTTGCCCCCACCCAGTACATCAGGGACCCCCCTGGGAGCAGGACAGGGTTGGCTGCTGCCGGGGACTGCAGTGTCTGGAGGAGTCCCATCCCAGGGAGGAACAGAGTCAGCGGGAACAGCGCAGGGTGGGATTCCCCAGGGAGCCCCTCCCCCAGGGCGAGCCGGCACAGGACCCTACCTGCTTGGTAGTGGCTGGGGGCCTCTGTGGTTTCATAGGTGGCCTCCGGCGTGTAGGCCAGGCCCTGCTGGCCGCCGACATCCTGGTAGTCTGCAGCTTCTGTGCTGTACACAGCCTCAGGGCTGCTCTCGCCCACGGGGCTTCTGTGGCCAGGCTCTGCCTTCAAGGAGACCGCGTCCTGGGGGCGGGAAATGGGAACTTCCTGGGCCATGTGCGCGTCTGACAGCAGCAGCCACACTGCCACAGCAGGACAGGACACACCCCCAGGACGGCCCTGGCCGCAGCACCCCACGGTCCGAGCCTCCCCGGCTAGTGGGAACCTGCCCCTCCAGCACCACCCCCCAGGCTCGGCTGCTCTGTCCTGGGTTGGGGAGGCTGAAGGCCACGAGAGGCCCCCTCTGCTGCCAGCCCTCCCTCTGGGGCCAACCAGCCTGCTCTGAGAGCCCACTGCCCGGGACAGCACTGCGAGTGGACAGCACAGTTGTGTGCCAACCAAGTGTGGAGGGCAGGAAGGGGACCAAGGAGGACCCGGCTCCCTGGGGGTTCATGGGAAACAAACACCTTGCTGCTTCAGAGCCCGTGCCCTGCGGACCCCACTGGACCCTGCGCTGCAGGTCAAGGGTGGTTTCAGCAGGCTCCTTCTAGAGGTGCCCAGGAGGGGGGCTGGCAGAGGGTCCGAGAGCACCAGGCAGACGGCTCAGAACCCACAGAGGGTGACCAGGCAGGGAGAGCCCCAGGAGGCCAAGGACGGCGTCCACCTCCCCCTGGGCACTGAGGGCACAGAAGGGTGCAGGGCAAGGACTGGCCAGGCGGCTTCCCGGTGGCAAGATGGCCTGGCACCAAGGCGACCACAGGGGTGGCAGCCAGCTCAAGGCATGTGGCCCCAAGGGCCTCCCACCACACACCCACTTGCTCATCCCCCAGAATGTGGCCGCCCCTCCTTAAGGGACCAGTCGCTCAAGACCTGGTCCAGCGGGAGACAGCGGCTGGGTGGGACACCTCAAGGCCACGTCCACCAGGGAGCTTCCAGGATCAAGTCCCCACACGGTGGCGTGGCAGCAGGTGCCAGGGAGAGGACCCTCAGTCCTGAGTGCGCACACCAGGCCACTGTGCCCCCACAGCTCTCAGAGCCAGGAAGCACCCTGGGCCACAGGACACTCATGCTGGCAAGGCCGGGGGGGGGGGGGGGGGGTTAAGTCAGCCTCACTCACACCTTGACGGGGACACCCACCTCGTACACAGGGCTGGAGGGCGGTCTCTCCTCGGCCGGCTGCGGAGCGGGAGACGCGGGGGGCGTCTGCTTCTGCGCTCTGGCTTGCTCCTGCAGTGGACACGGCAGCCAGGCTGAGTGAGCCACCTGCCCACGCTGCCCGAGAGGACGGCCCAGGCCCTAGCCTGGCACAGGAGCAGAAAACCTCGCGCTCCCAGGAAAGGAGGGCCAGACGCCTCCAGCCACGGCAGCACCAGGGCCTCGGTGGCCACACAGGGAGCCCCTCTGCCCTCCTCTTCTGGAGGACTCGACGAGAGCCGGGCTGAGGGGAGGCCGTGAGGTGGGGGCTCCCAGGGCCCCAGGTGGGGAGCACATCTGCCAGCGGAGGCAGGCGTGAGCCTGGGGACTGACACAGCACTGCACGGTCCCCAGCCCGGCCTGACTGCCACCCCACATGCAAGGGTCCCTGTAGACGTGGCAGGGTCAGGGTCTGACGGGGGACTACTATGGGCCATCAGTGGGCCCCGTGCTGCCACAGGCCCTGACCCACTGGGACCCAAAGGAGTGCACCTCCGCTGACACTGGGATCCCTCACCTCCAGAACTCAAGATGTGAGTGCAGGTGCCACAGCAGCCACAGGAGACCACAGCAGCTGCACAGCACAGCCCAGCGTGCTTGGGGACGCCCAGCAGGCAGCAGCAGAGCAGGGTCTCAGCCCCATCTGTCCACTCCACCCCCCCGCCCTTCTGTCTCAGGGGACAACAGTAACACTGTCTTCTGTTGACAAGAACACTGCCCTGGCCCTGGGACCCCGAGTGCAGTTCTCTTCACTCACGTGGCCCAACAAGCCCCGCATCACCAAGACTGGCCACACAGAACCAGCCACAAGGTCGCCACGAGGCCTCAGGTCCTGCCTGAGTCCTGGAGGACAGGACCAGCCTGGGCGGGAGAAGACCAGGCCTGCAGCCATAAGTGACCACAGCTGTGGGTTCCAGATGATCAGAACACACCTGCAGGCCACACCCTCCCAAGTCAGGCTGGTAGGGACTGGCCCGGGGCTGGACACCAGGGAGACCAAGCTTCTCTGCAGGCCCTCCTGCCAGGGGAGGGCTCAGCACCCTCCCCCTGGGGCTCTCCGCCCAGGGCCTGGGTGTGAGCTGGAGGGGAGGAAGAGGGCACCACAGCAGGGGAGCCCGAGGCCGAAGCACCTCCCTGGACAACAGAGCCTGACCCTCCCCGGCAGGGGCTGACCCCAGAGCCGAGGTGCGGAGGGCGCGAGCGCCAAAGGACAAGGTCCGGGGAGAGAGTGTGGCGAGCAAGCATGTGTGTGGGTCCTGCAACCAAGACAAGCTCCCCGGTGACACTGAGGAGGAGGCCTTCAGCTCTAGTCACCCAGCTCACGCTGGCTGCCACTCCACTGGGCGGCTGGCACCAGGCGGCAGGGCGTGCTCACAGCGCCTCCGGTGCCAGGATGGCCAGCTCCTGCACCCTCACTTCCTCATCCGCGCCTCTGCCCGAGGCTCCTGAGAGCCCTGACCACTCTCTGGGGGAGACGCTCCTCTGGAGAGAGGCAGGGAAGGAGAGCCTCCTCCGTCCTGCACCTCAGAACCCACGGCTGCCAGGGCGGAGGGAGGTGCCCGGGGAGCAGGGCTGAGCAGGGCCCAGCCCAGACGTGCGCCTGTCTTGGACATGCTTCAGAAAAAGGTGGTCCCCACCTCCCTGCCCCATGCCCAGCCCACACCCACTTCGTCCAGTGAAGTCCACTTCCAGGACCACAGGGAAGCGGCAGACAGGACTCTGGAGGCTGGGTCTGCAGAAGACACCTCCCTCCTCACGTGAGCCCTCCCGTGGGTCAGGGGCTGGGCTCTGAGAGGCAGACCGCCAACAGCCCCAGACCCAGGGGCATGGGCCGGCAAGCTCCACCTCGTGTGGACACATTCTGCACAAGAACCTCTGGAATGCCCCGCTAGGCAGGCTGGCACAGCGCGGGGCCCCACCCTGGCCAGGCACAGCAACCTTCCTCCACTCACCTCCAGTGTCCTCCTGGCCTCCTCCTGCTCCTGCCTCTCCCTGGCCACCCGCTGGGCTCGCTCGGCGTCCGCCTTCCGCCTGTCCTCCAGCTCTCTCTCCTTGGCCAGGTTTTCGAAGTTGGCTCTGATGTTGCTGGTTCTGCTGGTCGCTGCAGAGCAAGGTGCGAGCCCATCTGCCTCCGGGCCCCGTCCAGGCTGGCCACGCCAGGGCGAGGAACCCAGAGAGCTGTCTGTCCCCACCAGGGGAGCCCAGTGGCATCTCAGCGCCCCCTGCCCACTCCAGCCCTGCTCCACCAGTCATCCTTCCCACTGGCCACAGGGGTGGAAAACAGACGAGCCTCACTGACCTTCACAAGGCAGGGAAAGTACTGACTTTAATAAACCTTGACCTTAGACAGACTTTTTGTTCCTTTGGGTTTGGGCACCAGGCTGAACCCAGGGCCCTTCATCACTGAGCCCTGATTTTCATCTCACTGAGCTGCCAGGGCCTTGCTAAGTTGCTAAGGCTGGCCTTGAACTTGCGATCCTCCTGCCTCAGCTCCCACGCACAGCTGCAGCTGCCAGTGGCCAAGGGCACGGGGTCTCCAAGGCTCCAGGCAGCAGGTGAACTACAGCCACGGGGTCTCCCGCAGCCACTTCCTCCAGAGTACAGAGCAGAGCCCTGTCAGGAAGCGCTCCCACAGCGTCCGCTGCCAACGGACAACGTCCAGAGAACCGCAGCTGCCTCGGAGCACAAGCGTCCCGCAGACTGCGGGGACAGAGGCGCCGGGTGCAGCTCTTCTGTGCGATGAAAGATGTCCCAGGCTGCACGAGCCGGCGTGTCCCCGGGGTGAGCCTCAGAGGAGTGTCACAGGACACGGGTCATGACCCCAAGGCTGCCAAGACCCTCCCTTCCCACCTGCCTGTCACGAGCCCCGCATGAATTCACAGACAGCCTGACTTACTGCACGGGACAGATGGCAGACGGAGACCCGAGGACCCTGCCTCTCCGCTGCCTTCTGCCCTGAGGCTGCCGCTACTTTTCACAAAGAAGGCTACTAGGTAAACAGGCGTGGTCTTGCCACCTTCACACGGATTAACTTAGACCTTCCTCTGCTGATCTGTGACACAGCAGGGATCAGCACGTCTCACCAACATCGTGGGGGTTCTCTGGGGCCTCAGTGACTTCCAAAATTGTCAAGTGACCCAGGGCCACAAAGTCCGAGAACTGACCCAGGGCATCACAGTGAACTGACAGTGACCTCTGGCTTACTCTTTTTTCCAGGTATGGGGAGTGGGACTGAACCCAAGGGCACTGTACTACTGGACCACATCTCTAGCACCTCTTATTTTTTAAACAGGGCCTCACTAAGTTCCTGAGGCTGGCCTTGACTTGCGATCCTCCTGTCTCAGCCTCCTGAGTCACTGGGATCATAGCTGTGCCACCACACCTGGCCTTGTCCTGCAATTTTAAGGGGCACCTTCAGAAATAGCATGTTGTAAGGCCTGTTTTGATAGACACTGCCCAAAGCAAAGATGGCTTAACTGTGTCGCTGAGGGTCCCCACCCTGCTTGTGAGTGCTTTCTAGGCACCCACGTGCCTCTCTCTCTGGCTCCTTTCCGGCACTACCTCCTCCCCAGTGCATTTCCCTGACGGAGCTCGGCTCTGCGCAGGACTCACCGGCTTCGACAGGCACAGTCTTCTGGTAGGCAGGGGACACCTGCGCCACATCTTCAAAGGTGGAGGCGTTCTAGGGAGTCGGGAAGGATATCAGGAGGGCACCCTTCTCCCCTCGGTGCACAGCAACAGCTGCTGTCTCACAGAAGTCGAGGGCCCCAGATCTTCCAGAAGACCCTGGGCAGCCCACAACTGTCCCCTCTGCCTCAGAGGCCAGGAAACATGTGCACACGCTGGCTGCTGGGCACAAGTCGGCTCACACTGCGGGGGCAGGCCTCCTCGGGGCTCCTCCTGAGCCTCCCCCACCTCCTCCCGAAGCCTCTGAGGGGAAGAGCCCTGGGCACACACAAGCCTGGAGGCCAGCTGTCCCCACCCTCAGGACCCTCAACCCCGTCCCGCACACAAGACCAGCTATATAATGGCTGACCTGGGCACAGGGCGGCAGCGTTGATGGACGCCAGTGCCGGTGCCCAGTTTCACCGAGACTGGGCACTAGGTCTCCACCTGGGCCCACTTCAGCCTGTCTGTGACCAAGAGGCTCAGGAGACCACCAACCCCTACCTCTCCCACACACGCCTCTCCTGGGACAAGCACAGGGCGGCAGGTCAGGACCCCCTGGTGCTGGCCCTCCCCAGCTTCTATAGGCCTGCTCTGGGCCCCCTGCCATCACCCAGGTCGGCCGTCCCCACCGCAGTCCCCACCTCACTGCTCAGCCTTCCTCCCCAGCGAGCGCGTGGCCCGCCCAGCAGCCCCGGCCTCCCTGCTCGCTGCCCTCTGGAGCCTCTCCCCCCTCCCCCAGTCCAGCTGGCTCTCGGGTCCAGTGGGCAGCCACTTTTGACCTTGAGTCACTTGCCTGTCCATGGTGACCTTGGAAGAACCTCCCTCCTCTCTGGGAAGGAACCGCCGGCACCTCAGCAAACATGAGGTCATCACCCTACCCTGACAGCCGCCACAGGGACCACCCGGGACCCGTCCTCAGCAACCCACCTTGCTCCTGGGGCGGCCAGCCGGGTCCCGGTCACACCCGGGGCGCCCGGCCAGGCTCCTCCACCCAGGGCCCCGCCCACAGGGCTGGGGAGGCGGCGCCAGGCCCACGGAAGCACTTCCTCCCTGGGTGCTCGGAGCCCAGCGGCCACCTCATTACCGTCCACACCAACCACAGACACCACAAAACGGAACTGCAACTCCCGACCTCAAAGCCACAATCTGACTCGCCCGCTGCTCCTCCCCCTCCTTCCCAGGGGCCTCAGCCCCAGACAGGAGCCCCAGCTCAGCTCCTCCGACAACCGGCCTCCTCCATCACGGGCGGCAGGGCCAGCACTGCCCAGGCCTCCCAAGGCCACCAACTCCACAGGGCCGCAGGTCTCCAGGGCTGCACCAGCCCCACTGACTCCCCCCTCCTCCCAGGCCTGGGAGCCCAACCCAGCCTGCGGCTCCGTCCCTCCCACACCTGGCCACCCGTTCCCCACCAAAGCCCCACTTGCCCGGAGCTGGAGCCTCTTCACAGCCCAGTCTCCACAAGGAGGCCAGCAGGTACCTCTCAGCGAGACCCCCTCGTGCCCCTCCAGCTAAGCCCCTCCAGGGCCACTCCCGTCCCTTCAAATTAGGCTCCGACTCTCACATCCTCGGGACCCCTCCCTGAGCCACTGCCCTGCTCCCAGGGCCGTCCTGGGGCAAGTCAGCTGTGGGCCCCTGGAAGCAGAGCTCCGAGGCCAGCAGTGCCACCTGTGGCCAGGGTCAAGTGCAGCAAGGAAGAAGGAAAGGGCCGAGGCTGGAGGAGTCGTGGCCGGCAGCCCAGCGTGAACAGGCACAGCCCAGCGGGCAGGGGGAGGGCAGGGCCGCCAGCCTCAGGGAACAGCCCCACCTTCCGCAGCCCCGTGAGGGGCACCCATGGGCTCTCGAGGAGCCCGCGGGTCTCGAACAGCGCTGACGGCCTTGAGAAGGGTGCAGACCTGAAGGATGCACTTCACGGCTCCAGACCAGCTCCCAAGGCCCGACACCCAGCACCAGAGAGTGGACGCCTGGTGCGAGGACAACAGCATGCCACAGCAGTGTCCCTCCTGGCTACAGAGACAGACCCCCTGACCTGCACTGTCCCACAGGCCTCTGCAGTAACCATGGCCAGGATCTGTTCTGACCAGAGACCTCACGTGGCCCTGGGCTCTTCAAAGTGGCCAGTGACCTGACCTAAGGCCACCAGTCCAAGTTCACGCAGGCAGGTGTCCAGAGGCCCTCACCTAAACAACCCAGTTCCAGCAAGGGCCCAGCTACTCTGCACCAGGCCACGGCCCAGCACGGAGCTGCCTTGGCCCAGACCCAACCATGAAAGGGACAGGCACAGCCTCCAGGCCACGCTCTCTGCCCAGGGAGCACAGGACACCGTGTGTCAGCACACGCCCGACCCGATGGTGCACTTCCAGAACCAGGAGCCGAGTGCCCACCAGAGGACCTCCACAGCGCGTCCAGCTCCACAGACACCCAGGAGCCCCCACACTCCTGCCGGCGGAGAGGGCGACACCCCGGTCTCGGAGCCGTACCTTGTCCATGCGGTCCTTCTGCACCCCGTACTTGCCGCCGAATCCTCTGGAGTAGTCTGCAAGGCAGCAGAACGGAGACTCACTGACTCTAGCAGGGGCAGGACAGCAGGGCATGCAGAGGCCGGGGACAGCAGGGACGCGCCCAGAGCAGACAGAGCCCCGAGGCGGGCTCTCCTGGCAAGGCCAGCTCTGCGTCCACCTCGGTGTCCAGTGCACAGGCGGGGCCGGGGCAGAGGCGCGGCATGCTGCCCGCATTCTCCCGGGGCACGGGTGGGGAAAGGCGGCAGGCTGGCGGGAGGAGGCCAAGGAGGGGGCACAGGACAGGCCTTGCAGCGCCAGGTCGACAGCAGTCTTCCGACCCGCAGGGGCCTTGCGCTCTGCGTCCCGCACGCCTGCTCTGAGCACTAGGGGGGCTCGGGCGCAGTCTGCTCTCTTGCTTTTCAAAAGAAAAAAAACTCCATGTGGAACTTCTACCGGCCAAAGGGCCCAGCTGCAGCCACACACGCCCAACACAAAAGCCACACTGTCACACGGCCTCCATGCCACAGAGGACCGCCGGCCACCACCCAGGCCTGAGCTGAGCCGCAGCTGTCCAGCCCCAGCACCGCTCTTCCTCCGGCTGCGTGTCCAGCTTCCCGTGACACAGCCCAGCTTCCGAGAGGATGGAATAACTAAGGGAAAATGTGCCGGCTGTTCAGACAGCGGAGGTCTGTTTAGAAACGTCTTCCTCCAGCTCCGAGCACCACGGCATGGCTCTGTGCAGAAGCCACATGTGGATGGTTCCTCAACCCTGCCCAGAAAACACCACCACAAACAGAACACAGAGACCACACGTGACACGTCTGTCCCACGCCTTTGCTGCCCCAGCCTCTGCTGAAAGGCCAGGTGGTGGAGCACTTCTCCCTCGCTCAGGGGCAACAGGCTGGGCTCCGTGGGGCGGCACTCCAGGTTGGGGTGCCTCCAAGACCTGACCGCACCGTGCAGCTGGAGGGAGGGCCCTGCAGACTCACGTCTCTATCGAGGCAGGTTGGATAATGTCGGAGGGAGAGAGAACTGGGAAGGAAGGGAGCTGCTCCCAGTGTGGAAGTGGGCCGAGGACCCCACGGCGGCCAGCAGCCACCCACCCAGAGACACGCAGCAGCACCCGTGGGGAACCCCGAAGCCTGTGCTGGAACTGGATGCACTGCAGGGGCGCACGGGGGGCAACGGTGCCTTGCTGGGACCCGTGCTGGGCTGGTCTCTCCTTGTGACCAGACCCCACAGAAGAGGAGTCCTGCCTCTCGGACTGAACACCACCTGCCTCCAAAACCAGTCTTATAATCTGCAAGTCCAGAGCGACAGTGGGGAGAAGAACCAGAGAGGAAGCCGGTGAGTCAGAGCCGCCATGGCCCAAGGTCGGACACCTCGTCTCGAGAAAGCAAGAGCCCAGCCAAGCTCGGGCCGACGGTGGCCGAGGGCTCGAGAACAGGCACACAGCAGGCCACGTCAGGCGGGGCCAGGGAAGCTAAGGACAGACTCCACAGGGCCACTCCAGGCTGACGCACGCGTCTCGTGAGGAGAGACACGTCAACGCCAGGGACTGCCCACCCACTGGAGCTACGCAGGGCCAGCGCCCGTGGAAGGGTCTCCACACCCTGTGGAAGGAGACGAGCCACAGTCCACCTCACCGACGAGCACCGCGGGCTGGGAGCCTGGTGCTGCCGCGCCACGGCAAGGGTGGGGACACCTAGGGCACCCGCCTTGTGGCACGGGGGCCAACCCAGCTCTGGCACCCACCAGGAGGAGGGGTTCGTCACTGCTCTGCCTCAGGGGTGCGAGACGTGGGACAGATTCCCACAGTGAGGACAGACGACACGTGGACACACGGCAGACGTGACACAGACGACCGAGGAGTGAACACACGCATGCGGGGAGGGACCTGAGCCAGGCAAGGGGACGGTACCTTTTTGGGACTCATGCAGCTGCAGTTTCTCCTGATGATCCCAGCCAAGGGCACACTTGTCTTGTCTGTCTGTCTGCACACCAAATTTTCCTCCAAACCCTTTCGCATAGTCTACGTGCACAACAGAAGCCACGGAGCAGCGTCAGCAGCCGCAGGCGCAAGCTCATTTCCAACGCAGGGGAGCAGGACACGACCACTGAATGACCAGGGCTTGTGGGGACGGCCACGTGGAGGAGCAGGAAACCACCCACAGGCCCCATAGAAGCAGCACAGCCTCGTGACGCAGAGTCACGCGGGACACGGGTGTGAGAGCCACAGAAGTGTAAACGTGAGGTTTCCTGCTAAGAGCCAGGTCTGGACTGTTTCTACAGGGTGCACTGTGCTGCCCGGGCCGGTCCCACCCCACCTCAGCTGCCCATCAGCAGTACAGGCCCGAGAGACGTGTGACGGACACCTGCCTGCGGACGTGGGGCAGGGCTGTGGGGCACCCACCTTTCTGGGACTCATGCTTCTCCGTCTTGCCTTGGTACTCGAAGCCCACCGCACTCTTGTCCACTTTGTCCTTGTCGATTCCGTATTTGCCACCAAAGCCCTTGGAGTAATCTAGAACCAAGGAAGGTGCTCTCGAGAAACCTGCAGCAGGACCACGGCACCCCGGGTCGTGGCACCTTCAGCCTCAGGGAGACAGGGCAACTCAAAGGGGCCACGCATGTCCAGGAAAGTGAACACGCAGGGGACAGGCACAGCAGGTCAGTGACCAGGGTCATCCATCCCGGAAGGCAGCCAGCAGTGGTCACTGAAGGCTCCGTACCCGGGAGGGCCCCAGGGTTTCACGGTCTCTGCCTCATCAGTGGAAGCAACCACAGGCCACCCAAGCAGCACCTTCCAGACACAGGGCGCCCACGGAGCACCTTCCGGAAACCTCAGCTCCACACAGCAAAGGCCTCCAGACACCAATTTCACACTGAAGCACGACCCTCAGAGACGTCAATGGTGCAAATTCTGGGGTCAGTCCCAAGAGAAAGGGCCCCAGGTCCCAGAGGACCCTGATGTGCTCCAGTGAGCCTGCGCTGCAGAGGACTGACCCAGGCTTGAGGAGCACTGCTTGTGCTGGCCCAGGAGCCCCAGGAGAGCAGCAGGCCCATGGCAGAGCTGCCCACAGGCCCACTGGCACTCCCTCCTCGTAGCAGAGGGGAGCGAAGGCAGCGGTGCCCATGGGGCTGGCACTCCATGCAAACCTGCCAGGCCAGTGTGGCCACGGCCACCAGAGGGTCTTCTGCTGTACTTTTCTAAGAAATCTGAGGTTTTCCTACGTAAGCACTCGGCTTTCAAATGGTGGCAGTCGTTTAAAACACCTGCCACGTGGAGGCAGGCCAAGCAGAACAAGGCGCAGGCGCGGGTCACAGGCTCCAAGCAAGGGTGAGCACCAGATGAGCCGCGACCTCAGCAGACACCTGGGCAGGTCCTCCAGGATCACCTATAGGGCTCGGGCCAGCAGAGGCCACAGCTCCAGCACCATCTGGCAGCACCCACCAATGTAGCACCCTTTGGCCTAGCATTTCTGTTTCTGGGATCAAGTTTTTCAACAGGTCCAAAAATATTAACTGCTGTAGATTTTTAATATCAGAAAATCATCAATAACTTAAAATTTACTCAAAAAATGGTTAAATAGATATGGAATCTTCATAGAATGGAGAACTGAGCAGACATTGAAAATAAGGAAAGTTGCTCAGGAGGCTGAGGCAGGAGGATCACATTTTCAAAGACAGCCTCAGCAAATTAGCCAGGCCCTAAGCAACTTAGTGAGCCCTTGTCTCAAAATAAAATTAAAAAAAAAATCAAAGAGGGGGCTGGGGATGTGGCTCAAGCGGTAGCGCGCTCGCCTGGCATGCATGCGGACCGGGTTCGATCCTCAGCACCACATACAAAGATGTTGTGTCCACCGAAAACTAAGAAATATTAAAACACTCTCTCTCTCTAAAAAAAAATCAAAGGGCTAGGAATGTGGCTGAGTGGTTAAGGGCCCCAGGTTCAATGCCCAGTACTAAAAATAATAATAATAAGGAAAGTTGCTGGGTGCAGAGACACATGCCTGTAATCCTAGCAACTCGGGAAGCTGAGGCAGGAGGACCCCAAGTTCAAGGTCAACCTGGGGAACTTAGTGAGACCCTGTCTCAAAATAAAAAGCAAAAAGGGGACCGGGGCTGGGTGGTAGAGCGCCCGAGGTGCACATGTGGGGCCCTGGTTTGATCCTCAGCACCACATAAAAATAAATAAAGATATTAAAAAAAAAAAAAAAAAAGGGCGGGGAGGCAGCTCAGTAGTAAGCACCTCTGGGTCCGACCCCAGCACTCAAACTAGAAAGCCAACCAGTCCGTCCGGAGAGTCCGCCCTGGCCTTGAGAAGGGCGTGCCTGGGGCCGAGGGGTACCCAGCGGAACCACTTTGACAGGAAGTCCATCCAAGCGCCCACACCTTTCTGGGACTCGTGCTTCTCCGTCTTGCCCTGGTAGTCGAAGCCCACGGCACTCTTGTCCACACGGTCAGCCTGCACGCCGTACTTGCCGCCAAAGCCGCTCGAGTAGTCTAGAAGGCAGGGTGGCAGACGGCATGAGCCCTGGAAGGCTACAGGGCCGCCTTTGTTAAACTAAGCAAAACCACAGGGCACCCCAAACATGGCGACCACTGCTCCCCACAGGGATGCTGGGTGGTCCGGGCGCTCTCGCAGGCTGGAGGGCAGGTCCTTCTGGTGGACAGAAATGCCGCCGCAGGCCTGCCTTCAAAACTGAACGGCCAGTCAGGGTCAGAGTGCTGAGCCGGCGGCAGCTGATGCCTGCAACAAGGACGTGGCTCATGTGCAGGAGGCGACGCTTCTGCGCTCCTGGGTGGCCTGGGCGGCCTGGGCTCGCACTGCCTTGTGGAGACCTGCCACCAGAGGCTTGGGGCCCGGCTGCGTAGCAGGGGGACTCACTCTGGTTCCTACCCTCAGGGAGGTCGCCAGGTTTTGCCAAAGTCGGAGGAGCTGACTTTACAGGAGTGGCCCTGCTCAGACGTGGGCGGTGCCCAGCAGACCCTCCACCAGAGCACCCACTGCACAGGGCCCGGATGATCCGGCCACCCTGGCCGCAGCCCTCCTACCAGACAGCAGCCGCAGGCCACCCGGCCTCTGCTGCGCTGTGCTGCCTGCGTCCTGCAGCGTACCTTTCTGGGAGGCGTGCTTCTCCGTCTTGCCCTGGTACTCAAAGCCCACAGCAGACTGGGGAATAAAGAGGAGAGTCACTTCCGAACGCCCGAAGACCACCCCCTGAATCCATGACACACACGGAGCTTCTGAAACCTCCAACTCCTTGTTCTTTGACCTTTGGCCTCCTAAGTCAAACGCAGGTCAAGAGGACGCCACGGCCCTGGTACAGTGAGCTCTGGCACCCAGCACCCCCACACTGGCCTCCCCTCCATAGCAAGGGCTCTGAGTGTCCCCTGCATAGAGGCACACACGCAGGGAGCAGGGGCAGCAGTGGTCCCTACTGGCACACTCCTGGGCAAATCTAAGGCTGTGTCCCACACGGGGCTCCCACAGCCTTGTGGCAAACGCCTATTGCGTGCTACTGTCCTGGCCCCAGTGGTCAGCCCACACACTCCGTGTCCCTGGAGGGAAATGTGTCCTGCCAGCTCCTATCTAGAGGCCCCTCCCTGCAGCCCCACAGCATCAGAGCACACCGCACTCTACCCCAGTGAGTGGCCCGGAGGACACACACAGCAGTGGCAGGTCGCGTCCAGGACAGGAACGGCCCCCACCCCCAAGGCTTCTCTCAGGTGCACCTCTGGCGCCGGTCACAGGAGACCACCCCCAGGGCCTTGGGCATGCTAGGCACACACTACCACTGGCCATCACTCACCCCGCCGCCATCCCTCACCTGGTCCACTCTGTCCACCTGGACACCAAACTTGCCCCCGAAGCCTCGAACCGAGTCCACTTGGGAACAGTGCTTGGAGAGTTTCGACTGGTACTCGTGGCCGACGGCCGACTGCAACAGAGCCCACACAGAGCCTCGCACACCAGAGCCCAGGTGGCCTCAGACACACCTGCCCACGCAGGGGCACAGCCCGAGCTCTCCACACCAGGTGCAGAGCTGCACTGCACCTCCACAAGGGCTGCCCACACCACAGCTCTGGCGCAGGGAGAGGCTGATGTGTCCAGGGATGAGGAAAGGGCATGGGGCCAGCAGCCACATGTGACTCCCAAGACCCACTTGAGGCCCGGAGAGCAGAGGGGAGCACTGGCCAGCCAGGCGCAGAACACACATTCACGTGCACAGAACCCACCCGCGTGGAGACTGGGCAAGGCAGCGACTGTTTGCACAGTGAGCTCCCTTCGTCACCACGTGACCCCAGAATGGGGGCACTTACACACACACACACACACACACACACACACACAACTTAGGAATGCGGGCTTCACCCTGGGATCCCCAAGCACCTGCCGCACGGCAGGGAGTTGGTGCCACCGAGTCAGCTCACTGTGGGCTCACCCACAGCCTCCATCCTGGTGGAGAAGGCGCAGGAGCAGGACCTTCCGTTCAGGTCAGCACACCACAGTCTGTGGGCTCACGAGCACCCCAGGCCTTTTGTCCCAAAGCTCTCTGGATGGCAGTGCCTCTGGGTGCCTATGACAGTCTCGGCAGGGACAGGGGCCCCCAAACTGTCCTGCCCTCCACAGTCGCTGCTCACAGTGGACAGCACCAAGGGCAGCTTCATGGGCACGGAGGACAAGTGGCACGAGTGGGTGTGGAGGGCTCAGGAGGCCCACGTCCGTCTCCTCCCGCCGCAGGTCTCGCACCCAACCACCATCACCACTGCGGCCACGGGCTGCAGACCCCCAGGAGCTGGCAGGCTGCTGGATGGCCGGCCTCAACAGGGCTCGCCGGGTGCTGGGCTCAGGGGCCACCAGCGCACGCCCTCCCACCTGGAGCGCTCTGAGCCGTACTGCCTTGTCTCCCTCCAGGCCCTGCTGAGGCTGGAGGCCGACGGCCCCCCTCAGCCTCCAGAGTCAGTGAAGGAACGTATGAGGCAGCCATGCCAAGGGACCCCACACGGTCCCAACACAAAGGATCTCAAGAATCAGGTCTAACACAGCCAGAGTGACACCCTCGCGACTGACCCCGTGTGCCCCAGAACCACATCTGCACTCCGCCGGCAGATGGGATCTGCTCTCAGACACACAGGGCAGAGCCCCGACCTGAAGCCCCCACAGGAGAGTCCGGGTTCTAGGGTGCAGTGGAGATGAGAAGGACAGACCACCACACCCTACCCCAGAAGTGCACAGCCTGCAGAGATGGGGGTCACCAGAACCCTGACAGCTCCTGTCCTGGCCCCTCTAGCAAACACGTGCTTGCTCAAGTAGGCTGGACTCTGCGTTACTTTCCTCAATTCTAACACGGGGACCTTTTTTATCGCCCAGTTCCTGGAGAAAGCAAGTTCCAAGCAGCGTAGGCCATTCACACTCAGGTTTGGGATCTGACAAGAGATTAGTTTCAGCCAGATACGGTGGCTCTCGCCTGTGATCCAAGAGGATCAGGAGGCTGAGGCAGGAGGATGGAGAGTTCAAAGTCAGTGTCAGCAACTTAGTGAGGCCCCAAGCAACTTAGTGAGACCCCATCTCAAATTACAAAAACAAAAGAGGCTGGGGTTGTGGCTCAGTGGTTCAGTGCCCCTGGGTTCAATCTCCAATATCCCCACCCTCCAAAAAACGATTGGTTCCACGGTGCTCCGACGAGCCCAGAGCTGCCCGCACCCCAACACGTGGGCCCCAGGGCCAGCAGGGCTCAGCAGCAGCTGCACCCCCACGGGGTTTGCTGCTTGAGGATCAGGACCCAGCTGGAGATGGGGTGCCCTTCCAGGAGAGTGGCTGGGCACCCTGAGTGCACACCACAGAGCACAGCCCTGCACAGTCTAAAGTCCCTTGAGCACCTACAAAGCACCAGGCTAGCCACCAGGAAGGGTGAAGAGCCTGGCCCTCTGCAGGCCCAGGCCGGAGCGCAGCTCATAGGCAAGGACAGCAAGCACAGCCGGGACACCCAGCCAGGCCACGTGGCAGAGGCAGGGAGAGGGCTCGCAGGGCAGCTGGGGCGAGAGGGCGAGAGGGGGACGGGCCCCAGGAGTTCCCTGCACAGGAAGGCCCAGGCTGCAGGTGCGAGGCAGAGGGGGACGGCAGCCCAGCCCGAGCAGCAGGGAGACCGAGCAGCGCCACGGGACGGCTCCCGCCCCGTCACAGACCCTCCTTGCGGAAGCTCCCCAGCCTGGAGAGTGAGCACAGGCTGGGCATGGGGGGCGCAGCCTGCTGCTCACTCTGATGGTGTCACAGGCTTCTCCCAGAATCCCGGGCAGCCCTTCAGCAGCCGGGTGTCCATGGCTGGCCCAGCAAACGTCCAGGTCTCTCTCCCGCAGGGTTAGCTTCCTCAGACTCCAGCTCTAAACAAATTCTGGGTGCTGCCCGGCCCCCCAAGTCCACATGGCCAGTGGACAGTGACAGGGCCACAGCCTTCCATGCCCACCTGATGCGTGGGAGGAGAGAGGGAGAATCAGAGGCTGGCTGACCCTCCTGCCTGGAGCAGGGGCAGCACCCGTCCAGTCAGAGCTGAGCCGTGTTGGGGGGCCTGGACATGCCCTCCACAAGGAGGTCTGCAGGGTGCTCGCGCCATCCACCGCTTCTCTCCAGGAGACAGGCCCTGCCTCCCGAGCTGTAGCCGCTGGCCATGAGGGTGATCATGGTCAGGGTGCCCAGACTGTCCTGCTCCCAGAGCTGGCTGTGGAACTGACTACCCTCGGGGCCTTGCTACTGCAGAGCTTCTGAAAAAGCAGGGGGGGGCTTCCCTGGGTGAGTCCAACGCACACAGGCCACTCCGCAGACACACAGCTCGATACGCTCCATCTACAGAAAGGCTGAGGGGCTACTCTGCCCACCGCCAAGTGCCAGCCAGGCCACTGAGCCTGGCACGGGCAACCCCAGCCACTTACTTTGTCCATCCTGTCCTGCTCCACACCGAACTTCCCCCCGTAGCCGTGGGAGGCTTTGGGCCCAGTTTCCAGCTCCTTCTCCTTCAGGGTCTGGTGCTCCTGGAAGACGTTCTCTCTCAGCTTGTGAATGCTGCAGGGAGGGACAGGCAGGGACAGGGAGGGACAGCACTCAGGCCTGCGCCTGCCCTCCAGCCGCAACACACAAGACTCCCCACCCGTGGTGCAGCCTGCGAGGTCTCACCACTTGGGGCTCGCCCAGCTGCCTACGTGAGGGAGAGACGCCCTGGCAAGATCCGGGAAGGACCCGGGGGGCTGAGAACTGTCTCCACCCCAGGCTCTCCTCATAGTCCTCCTGCCAGCGGGGACCCTACAGGGAGGGACAGCCGCCTGGAGGTGCACGGGGACCCCCAGCTCCCCCAAGGCAGCTCTGCTACCTGAACTTCGCATGGAGAAGCAGTGTGCTCAGCAGATGAGCAGGCGGGGGGGCAACTCCGCAAACACCATCTAGAGGGAGCGAGACACCCCCCTCCCGGTCCCCAACCACAGGCAGGGCCCAGAGGACACACAGAGCTGGCTCCTACATGAGGCGCTCCAGCACTTTGACGCCTTCAAAGATGAGACATTGAATGTGCCATCTACAAGCCACTTTTAGTTTTAAGACCAAGGACAGTGAGACAGACCACAAGATGTGTCAAAACCTCCTGGGTCTGCCCCAGAGACACCAAGGCCACACCTGGACTTTGGGCAAGCCCAGAAGAGTGGACCGAATACACACCAGGCCTGGAAACCCAGATGTCCCACAGGGCAGGGAGGGACAGATGCCACTGCAAGATCCGGGAAGGACCCGGGCGGGGGGGGGCTGAGAACTGTCTCCACCCCAGGCATCGCCTCACAGTCCATCGGTGGATGGACTGTGAGTCCCAGGAGCCGTCCCTGTCCTCCCCAACACATTCTAGAGCCCCTGGGAACAAGGGAGCTGCGGAGAGGCGCTGGCTGACACCACCTGAGTCCCCGCAGCCTAGGCAAGGCCCGCAGCTGTGCGCAGCCCTCCCAGGCTGCCTCTGGGCGGGACTGAGCAAACCAGGGAGGGACTAGTCGCAGGGAGGATCACCAGACCCCAGAGACCAGCAGGGCACCAGGGGAGACCCCACCTCAGAAATATCAAACTCTGCAGAAGCCACCACGGGAGTCTGCCTCTCACGGGCTGCGCCTCCAGCTGAAGACGCGGGTGCAGACGCCGCACCAGGGCCCAGCACAGCCCAGACCCCGGAGCAGACCTTTCGTCTCCACCTCCCCGCCAGGCAGCGCCAGGCAGCACTGGCCCGGCCCGCGGCCCTCTGGCCCTCCTGCCCAGGGTCCTCACATGTGGCCACAGCACTGGCCCTACCTTCTGCAGTGCCGGGCCACCTCCAGCCCCACAAGAGGAAAGAGGGCGGGTGGGCGTGGGCTCAAGGCCACTGCTCCCAGGAGAGCTTCAGCAACAGCCCTGGCCAGGACCCGCCACGCTCCCAAGGCTCCTGCCGACGCGGAATCCTGCGGCAGCAGTGCTCAGAGGGGTTCTGGACTGCGACCTGCGAGGGCCCACGGCTGGGGGGACTGCAGGGAGCTGGTGGAAACCCAGGGGAGGAACCTGGCTGTAGAGGGTCCTGGGGACGAGCCCGGAGCTACAAGTTGTCCCCGACCCCCTGCTCTGCCTGCGGCTGCGCGGTGAGCAGCTCTGCCTGAGACCCGAGCCAAAAGAAGTCTCGTCTCCTTCAAGTCTTTCCTCAGGTATTTTGTCACCACAAAGAAAACCACCACAGTGACCAGGATGGGAGCCCAGACGGTCCTGCACACACGGACACCCGCCGAGAGAGAGACTGGGCGTGCACCACGGGCACACAGCCCCGCGGGAGGCCCTGCGGGGACACAGGACGCCCCTGCCTGTCCGCACAAGGGCTTACTTGATGTGCTCCTGGTGTCCCGAGCCCTGCACAGTCTTGGCACCCCATCGCTGCTCCTTCTCACTGACGTCATTCTGCAGAGAAACAAGGGTGAGCCCCAGGCCAGTAGCCCGACCCGAGAGACCAGGAAGCCGGGGGGCAGGGCAGCGTGGCAGGCTGAACCCACCACAAAGTCAGGGTCGGTCTCCCAGTCGTCGGCTGCTCCGGCGTCCTGTGTGAGGGCCACGGTGTGGCCTGCAGAGGCCTTCCACATCTGCAAGAGTAGCACCAAGGTCACGAGGCCACACAGCACCCCAGGCCCACAGAGCAGCCTGGGCCACAGCCTCTGGGCTGGCCCCCCCACGGGACTCAAAGGGAAGTTTAAGGATCAAAGAAACTCACTACTGTGAGTCCTCACTGGGCACAAGGGCACAGACTAGCTCAGCTGCTCAGGAGGCTAAAACAAGAGGATCCCCAGTTTGAGGCCAGCCTGGGCAACTTAACAAGGCCTTGTCTAATAAAAGGGCTGGGATATAGCCGGGGGCAGGGCCATGCTAGTCTAGTACACAGGAGGCCGTGCATTCAACATCAGTATAGGAAAAAAGTCCTCTCAGGCGTGGTGGTGCACACCTGCCATTCTAGAGGCTCGGGAGGCTGATACAGGAGGATCGCGAGCTCAAAGCCAGCCTCAGCAAAAGCGACGCACTAAGTAGCTCAGTGAGACCCCGTTTCTAAATAAAATACGAAACAGGGGATTTTATTTATGGGGATGTGGCTCAGTGGTCGAGTGCCTCTGTTTAATTCTTAGTACCAAAAAAAAAAAAAAAGTTCTAATGTGGTTGTCAACTGACACCAAAAACATTCCTTGGCTTCAACTCATGAGAAGAATTTCCAGGGATCCACACAGTGGGGTGGGTATGCACTTCCTCCGTCCCCTGGAGACCATGCCCTGATCTAGCTCCCCTGAGTGACAGCACGGTTTTCCAAGAAAAAGCTCCACCACGGGCTGCACAGGGCCACGACGGTGCGAAGGTCACCCGTGGCGAGCCGCACACTGCGCCAGGGAGGAGCTCTCTGCACTTGCTGGAAAGACCAGGCTTCATTGCCCACCAGGGGAGCGGCAGACACAGGCCAGCTCTGGCGCCAGCGGGCGGCAGGGACACCCCTCCACAGCAGCCCGCTGTGAGGTCCAGCACAGGAACACTGGCACCTCGAGAGACACGGATAAGATGACCCTTTCTGTAACTTTAAAGGTAAAATCTAGCCTAAAAAAAATTTGTAGGTGGGCTGGGGCTCACTGGTAGAGCGCTCGCCTAGCATGTGTGAGGCACTGGGTTCGACTGTTGGCACTGCACACACCTAAGTTAATAAGATAAAGTCCATTGACAATTAAAAAGTTTTTAAAAATTTTATACAAAAATAATTGATCCATTTTCCTCAGAAATTTCAATAAAATTAAGCTGGTGGTGCACACCTATAACCCCAGTGACTCAGGAGGTTGAGGCAGGAGGATGGCAAGTTTGAGGCCAGCCTCAGTGATCTAGTGAGACCCTGTCTCAAAATAAAAAACAAAGGGCTGCGACGTGGCTCAGCGGTGAAGGGCCCGAGTCCAACCCCGGATCAAAACCAAGTGGGTCACTCAGGCCATGAAACAACCGCAGGAGCCAGCGCTGGGCCCGGGCCTGGGGACAGGGTCCCTCCCTCAGCTCCACAGGGCTGGAATCCAGCCAGCACCCAGGAGCAGCGAGGGCGCAGCAGGGCGCATGCTCCCAAGGCCCAGGGCCTTCCAGCACCCACCTGCCACCAGGGGGCGGGCCACCGAACCTCGGCCAGGTGTCCCAAACCGGAAGGGCGTCGGAGAGGCCTGCTCTCAACAGGACTGGAAGAGCCTGTTCAGTGCCTGTCACCTGCCCTCCATGCCACACCGTCCCAGGCAGGGCCTCCCTGTCAGGGGACGGGGTCCCAAGGGGCCAGGAGTTGCCCCCTGCACCAGAGGTGAGAAGGGGAAGGGGCACCTGCTTGTTCCCCCCATACCTGGGACTGAACCCAGGGGCCCTCTACTGCTGAGCGGCATCCTCAGCCACTTTTTAATTTGAAAACGGGTGTCGCTAAGTTACTGAGACTGGCCTCAATCTTGAGATCCTCCTACCCCAGCCTCCAGAGTTGCTGGGATGACAGGCACAGCCACTGCACCCGGCTTGTCACTTTTTCAGACTCCTCAAGGAACATCCAGCAGAGCTCACTGCTCATCTTTTCTGCAGTGGCTTCCCAGTGGGCAGGAGGGCACAGTGGGAAGAGGCTGGTCCCCACCGACACACGAGCGCCTCCAAGTCCTCCGTCCCAGACCTCTCTGCTCTACGCTGCCCAGGCTGGTCTCAATCTTGTCCGCCCCCTGCAGGCCCACGGGGAGAACACCCTCCTGTTGGAGGGTGCCTGCCATCCAGGGCAAGGGCATCAGAATGCCCCCGGGCACGCACCTTTCTTCCCAGTCACAGCACTCCACCTGAAACACAGCGACAGGGCCAGCAGTGTCCAGGCATCTGGCAACGGTTCTACCTGTGAAGAGACGAAGGGGGACGCTCAGGAGACCTGCCAACAGCTGTCCGGGGCCAACAGAGGCCTTTCCAGAACACAGCCGGCTGGCAGCGGACCCTGAAGGGAGACGGGGACCTGCCCCTCACTCATGGCCAAGCCACATTGCCCGGACCCAGCACACTGCCCGAGGGCCGAGCCCGCCTGCTGCCACCTGGCTGGCGCTGCTGCGGGGCGCGGCTGGGAACAGCAACTCTACCACCGGGGTCTAGAGATGACACGATGGACACACTCTGAGGTCTGGGAGGAAAGACCAGCGCGGGGCAGCCTGTGGAGCAGGAGGAGGCTGGGCTCCTGCACAGGGCAGGACTCGGTTCCCCAGCCACGTCAGACTTGGCAGCCCTCGAGAGGCAAGGAAGCCAGAGGGTCCAGCCGGCCACAGGCAGGACGCCGCAGCAGCGCAGGCGGCGCTGGCCCTCCCAGCCCCCAGCTTTCACTCCCCGTCCCGTTCCCGACCCAACTTCTTGCTCTTTCCCTTCCCGTGGTCCCACTGGAAAGCCCAACCTCTATAGCTGCCAGGGAGGACAGCAAGCAGCTGGAAAAAGCGACCCAACAACGGCTCCAGTCTGCACTCGTTATTTTCTCGGTATTTTAAATTTTAAAAATTCTTGAAAATAACTGAAAAACAATCTTGGGGCTGGGCGCAGTGGCGCACACCTATCATCCCAGCAACTCGGAAGGCTGAGGCAGGAGAATCACAGGTTCAAAGCTAGCCTCAGGAACCAGCAAAAAATAAAAAGGGCTGGGTGTGGCTCAGTGGTTAAGCACCCCTGGGCTCAATCTCCAGTACCAAAAACAAGTGAGACCTGGTGCCACACGCCCAGCAGTTGCACAGCTAGCACAGGTCCATGGACACGTGTCTGTGAACACTCCTAACAGCATTATCCATGATGACCCAAAATGGAAGCAATCCATCTGTCTGCCAACTGACGAAGGGATGCGGAGCGTGCACTCTAACTCCACATGGGAATAGTATTCAGCTATAAAAAGGAACAAAGTAGGGCTGGGGTAGTGGCTCAGAGCATGCGAGGCACTGGGTTTGATCCTCAGCACCACATAGACTAAAATACATTGTGTCCACCTATAACTTAAAAAGAAATACATAAAAGGGAACAAAGTACTAACACGAGCTATGATACGAAAGAACTTTGAAAAATATCATGCTAAACAACACCAAGCTCAAGGCCATGACCCCAGAGAGCAGGCTGGGGAGGGCCGACCGGGCTGCCCAGGGCTGCGGGCCGAGAGGGTCTGCCACAGGGTGGAGAGCTTCCTCCCCCCCGCAAAGGGCCTCCCAAGGAGCTGGGCCACAGTCACGCATTCTAGGGTTTCCTTCTGAAGTGAGGAAAGTGTTCCACCGTGACTGTGGTGGTGGTGGCATGCTCAGTGAACGCACTAAACCGCGCTGAACTACAGTTTAAATGGGCGAGGGCACGGACCTCAACAAAGCTGTCAGGAAAACTACTGTTCAAAGAAAAAGGTGACAGCTCCATCCAGCAGCACCGACATCAACCTCCCTTCAACGTCCCTCACCAACCCATGCCGCGGAGACTCCGGGGGATCAGCTGCACTATAAGACACTCAGTGGCAGACAGGCAGGGACCCACTCAGCCTCCTGGCCCTCCCCCTATGGCACAGGAAACAGAGGCCCAGGCCCCCTCTGTGCACCCAGCCCAGCAAGCCACTGAAGGCCACCAGGGGCTGGGCCTGGGCACAGGCAGTGGGCCTGCTCACCAGACACCACGGAAAGGCAGCTGAGCAAACCCCTGCGGCCTGGGACCGGGGGCTCCTGCATTCCAGCACCTTCTGAGCGGCACAGGTCAAAGGGCTGACTGCCAGGCGTGCTCACGTGCCGTGTGAGTGCTCAGAGCTCCACTAGGCTTCAACCGAGTTGCCCAGCAGCGGCGAGCTTGCCTAACCAGAGCCGGCAACCCAGCTCCGGATTCTGGAATGCCCGAAGCCCACTCGGTGGCTTCCCTGTCCCTGGAGTTTCTGATGACTATCTCTGCAGCCGGAGGGAACAGGGCACTGACTCAGGCCCTGGAGCCCGTGACTCACTCCGCTGGGCGGCCCTCCCATCCCACAGCCCTGCTTGGCCAGGGCAGGACAGGGTGCCCGGATAAGGCACAGTCCAGCCACCTCAAAAGGTGGCCACACCAAGCGCCAGGTCTCAGCTGCTGAGCAGAAAACTAAATTTCTCCCCAGGTGGCGGCCATGGCCTCCCCGACACACTGTCCAGCTGGGCAGCAGGCACAAGTGCGGTGCCAGCCCAGGTGACCCAAATGGGAACAGAACACAGGGAAGCACCCTCTGGTGACTGGCACACACCCAGGAGGGGCCATCCGGAGGCACTGGGCCCTCAGAGCTCTCCACCTCACCGGCCACCTCGGGGGCACTGACCCAACCCGCTTCCCCTGTGCCCCCCACGAGGCCCTAAACCCTCAACCCGCCCTGCCCGGCCCCCGACCGCCCTGCACCGCTCTGCCCTAAACGCCAGCGGCCCACCGCCCTGCCCCCCACTGCCCTGAGCCCCGGCCGCCCACTGCCCGTCCCCCACTGCCCTGCCCCCCACTGCCCACTGCCCGTCCCCCACTGCCCTGAGCCCCGGCCGCCCACTGCCCCCCCCCCCACCCCCAGCCCGCCCGCCCCCCGCCCCCCGCCCTCCCGCGGCCCTGCGCCCCGCCCGCTCCTCCCCGGGCATCCCCCTGCCGCGGGCCGGGACGGCCTCGCCCAGCGCCCGAAACCGCGAGCGGAAGCGCAGCAACCGGCCGCCGGCGCCCGCCCGGGCCGCAGGGCCGCGCTCACCGCCGCCGGGACCTCCGCCGGTGGCCTGGCTCCCGCGCCCGCCGCGCCCCGCACCGCTCGCTTCCGGTTCCGCGGCGGCGGCGGCGGGCGGGCGCACATCCGGGTCCGCGCGAGGCCCCGCCCCGGGCTGCGGGCCGTCCGTCCGCCGCCGGCCGCGCGCAGGGCCCGGGAGCGCCCGTGCTGGGCCCCGGGCTCCGGGGTGGCCGCGAGGGCCGGCCCCTGGGGGCAGCAGCCTCCACACGGCCCACCCCGGCGTGCATCCTGCGTCCGTCCTTCTCTGCACCCGCCATTCACCCATCCCGCTCCATCCCCCTCCACGTCTCCATCCCACTTCACCAACCCTTTCCACTCCGCCATCTCGCCACCCGCCCGTCGCTGCGCCAGCCGTCGCCCCAACTGTCCCCCCGCCCGTCTCTCCTTCAGTCTCCTGTCTTCACCCATCCATCTCTCCAGCCACCAGCCCCCATCCAGTCATTTCATCCTCACCCGCCCTTCCGTCAGTCCCCCCATCGATCTGTCCACCCAGCCATCTCCATTCCTCAGTCCATTTTCCATCCAACCATCCAGCGAAGCTCAGATATGTCAGGGGTAATAGGATTCTTGGAACAGACTTGGTCCTTGTCCTCAGGAACCTTCCTGCCCAGAAGGAGAGTCAGGCATGCTAATGTAGATATAAAATTAGGAAAACATTATGAAAGGAGTAAAAGTTATACAGTCATCTTGGGGAGAAGGCACACCCTAAATCTACCTGGGGATCAGAGAAAGCTGCTCTGGGCCTAGGAATGCATGTAGGCATTAATCACCTAGACTGTAAGACTCTAGTGCTGCTTGAGAATTTAGGCCTGGCCATGCGGGGTGGTGCACACCTGTGATCCTAGTGGCTCAGGAGGATGGAGAGTTCAAAGCCAGCCTCAGCAAAACCGAGGCACTTAGCAACTCAGTGAGACCCTGTCTCTAAAATACAAAATAAGGCTGGAGATATGGCGCAGTGGCCAAGTGCCCCTGAGTTCAATTCCTGGTACCAACCCCCCTCCAAAAAAAAAATATATATATTTAGGCCTGAGCAGGTCTAGTGGTGCACGCCTGTAACCCGGGGACTCAGAAGTTCACATTAGAACAAGGTCCCTCAGTGTGGAGAAGGCATGGGAAGAGACCTGATGCAGACATCCAGGCAAATGTGGCAGCAGGTACGATGGCATTCAGAAAGTGCAATCAGCAGGGTGCAGCAGCCCTCCTGTAGTCTCAGCTACTGGGGAGACTGAGGCAGGAGGCGGAGAGCAGTCTGGGCAAGACTTGTCTCCAAAATAACTGGAATTACATGTGGCCACGGCTGCACTCCCCTGTGAACGTAGGAGGAGGAAAACCCTGACTTGCACATTTTACAGAGTGAACTGCATTTTATGTGAATTTTACCTCAAAGCTGTTCTTACATAAATAATCTCCACCTCTAAATTGGGTCTCGGTGGCACACACCTCTACTCCCCGCCATGTGGGAGGAAGAAGCAGGAGGAGGCAATCCCACGGCCACCGTGAACAATTTAGCGAGACCCCACCTCCAAATAAAACATGATAAGGGCTGGGAGCCCGGTCAGTGCTAGAGAGCCCTGGGACCAATTCCACTGTTGCACCAGTGCAAGAAGAAACAGTCCCGGCGTGGGCCTCAGCTACAGCGTCCAGCTGACTGCGGCCTTTGTCTTCTGCAGGGCTGGCAGCCGGCCAGGGTGGTCTGGCCAGGAGCATGACTGACGGTCACGCCCACAGTGGCATCCCTGGAGGCCTGCTTGTGATAGCGCTCCTCCTCCCAACTAGGGAGGCAGGCCTTGGGGCTGGCCCTGCTGCAGAAAGGACACTGTGTGACTTCTGGGATGGCGCCCCCGACAGGCCCTGCGGCCCACCCTCCACTCTCGGAACCTGAGACCATGGTGCTATGGAGAAGCCCAGTCTGTCCCACAGAGAGGGAATGAAGGCTCCCAGGCACCGCCAGCGCAGGTGCCGGACACGTGACTGAGGCTGCTTGGACCCTCCGGCCCCCATTGGCTGCCAGGTGACTACTGTCGCATAAGTGATTTCAGGAAAGACCCACAGGGGCCACTCAGGTTGCAAACCCACTGAACCAGAAGGAACAATGAATTCCTGGTTTTCCATGAAGTTCCAGGGTGGACTTTCACGTAGCAGCACTTAAGTGACCTCAGCAGCCAGCGGTCTTTCAGGGGTTGGTGACATCAGGAACGGAATCGGCAGAACAGAAGACAGTGCACTCTACACGCCTCTGCTGCCCTGCGAGGAACCACCCAGAGGGGGGCCAGACGTGCACAGGGCACAGGGGAGACTCGTCCGTGTCTCCTGGGGGCTCTAGCAGATGGGGAGGCTGGCCTGATGGGACGGAGTCCGGGGGGTGAAGTGTCCGGGGCCTCCTGTTTGGGGCTTTGGCTCTGACTGAGGGCGACTTTCTCCTCCTGTCATCTTGTCGTACCTCTGGGGGCTGCAGGGTCAAGTTGGCTGTTCCACTCACTCATCTGGGACCTAGAGTCTGAAGGCAGGAGCAGCTGGGAAGCCACCAGGCATTTCACCTGCCCAAGGTCTCAAGGAGGCTGGCTCAGCCTCCCCCCATCACAGTGGCTCAGGAGTGGACACCTTCTGCCTCCACCTCCTCCTCCCTCCTCTCATCCTCCCGCCTCCTCCTTTTCGTTTTGGTGCTGGGGATTCAACCCGGGGGTGCTCTGCCACTGAGCTGCACCCGCCCCTTCTGCTTCCTGTTTTGAGGCAGGGTCTCACTCAGGTGCTGAGGCTGGCCTGGAGCTTGCCACCCTCCTGCCTCAGCCGCCCGGTTCCAGGTGTGCCCCACGCCCGGCCGAACTGGAATTCTCACTTGGGGGCTGATCCTTTCAGAGCAAGCCCCCCATAACCCGGGAGGGTGTCGTAGTGCATCTTAGGACCTAGCTTCCGAAGTCCCTGTGCACCGTGCCGGCTATATTCTTCTGGCCAAGACAGTCACCAAGGCCAGTTCAAGTTTAAGGGGGAGTGGAGCCAGAGACGTGCGGCCGTCTTCAGTGGGCGCGCCTTCCTGTGCTGTGTGTTTCCAGTCCAGGAAGCCACGGCTTGTGAGGGGCAATGAGGACCTCAGGTGCCAAGAGGCACAGGAGTGGCCCTGGTGGGACTGGACAGCGTGCAATGGCCCCCCGCGGGCTGCACTCTGAGACTGCCACTGAGCTCAGTGGTTCCTCAGAGCGAGGCTCCAGAGGGTGGGCTTCCAGGGACTTCAGGCTGAGATGACCTAGCCCAGGAGCGTCTCCCTGACACAAAGGTTATAGGAAGTTCCACAAGAGTCTTTTTGTCTTGGTACGGGATTGAACCCAGAGTGCTCTACCATGGAAGTACACTGCCGAGAGCCACAGCCAGTCAGAATGGCCCCTGGCATTTTGCCAGAAGTAATGGTTGAGAGGCGCGCCATTAAGATGATGATAGTAAGTTCAGCTGTCTATAATTGCTGTGACTGGATGATGCTGGATTGAAACAGGCTGCGTATTCAATTGTATATTAGACCTTTACTGTCTGCCTCGGCGCCCACTACTTTGGAGTTCCCGTTGAGTTCTCCCGGGGTTCCCAGAGTGAGTGCGTGCACAGCCCAGTGGTGTTCCGGGAGATTGCCCGGGGGGAGTTCCGGTTGGTGTGTGGTGTGTTCCTGGAGGAGCCGCGTGGGTGGCGTTCGGGAGAGTTCCCGGGGAGTGTGCGTGGAGTGCTGTGGGAGTTCGGAAATTAAGTTTGTTCCTGCTTGAGTGGCTCGTGATTTGTGCCCAGCCAGACTGCAGCATTTGGTGGCCCGTGCGGGGAACGTCTGAAGCTCAGAGGTAAGTGAAATTGCTCGCCCCTGAGGGAAGGCGAGAGAATGGGTGACCATTTCAAAAAACAATGTGTTCTTGTTTTGATTTGTTTTGTTTTTGTTTCAAGCTGCCTGCCCCTAGAAATTTCTCAGGCAAACTGGGAAAAATGGTTGGCTCAAGGTTTGAAGTTGTTCAGCCCTGAGGAAGAGATAAAGATAGACCACGAAAATACATTTCAAAAAAATAGGAAAATTGATACAATGCATTTTTGTTCCATTTTGGTTTCATTCTGTTTTGGTTTTGCTTTGTGTTATCTTTATAGTAGAAATATGGGATCAGAAATTAGTAAAAAACAAACCGAAAGACTGTTAAGTAAATTGTTAGAGGTCCAGACTATGGTGGAAAACATGTTAGATCAAGCAAAAGAGAAGGTCTCTCAAGCTAGTCAGACAGAGGAAGAAAATTTAAAGGAAGAAGGGCCATCAGGAGGGAAAAGGTTACAACAGGAGGCTGCTACTAACACCTTTCTATCACCAGAGGGTGTAAGTGTCCAACCAACTGCTCCACCTATGGGGCCCCCAACCCCTGTAGTTGATAGATGGGATCCTGAGACAGGACCTCAAAGATAAGCATGCCCTGTACTTGAACAGGCAGGAGGGCAGCGAATTCACCATGTTTTAGATTTCAAAACAGTGAAGCAGTTAAAGGAGGCTGTAACAACCTATGGTCCTCAAGCACCCTTCACTGAAAGCATGGTCAAATCCATTACCAACTTGGACATGACGCCAACAGATTGGGCTAGCATGTGTAAATCTGTGCTAAATGGAGGGCAATATTTGTTATGGAAGGTAGCCAATGAGGAATTTTGCACAGAGACAGCTAGGTGATATACAGCAGCCGGTTATCTTCAGAGAAATCTAGATATATTGTTAGGACAGGGACCTTATGAGGGTCAACTGCAACAAATTGCATAAGATCCTGCCATATACTCACAAATTGCTGCAGATGCAGTTAGGGCATGGAAGACTTTACAAGGTCAATTATCTAAGGTAATACAAGGAGCTAATGAACCTTACGCTGAATTTGTAGATAGGCTTATTCAAACAGCTACCAGAGTTTTGGGGGATACAGAACAAGCAATGCCATTAATAAAACAACTGGCTTATGAGCAAGCGAATCGTTGGTGCAGAGAAGTCATTAGACCATGGAAACATGAAGATTTAAA